TCTTTTGATTTCTGGGCCTTTAAGTTTACAATGAAAATCAAGCCCACTGCATCCCAGCCAAAATTTTCATATTATTAATATAAAAATTACAACACACAGCTGTCAATCATTAAAAACATGTACGTATCTGTTTTATTCGAAAATATTAATATAAATTGTTTTAAAGAAAATATATACATGATTTAATTCTCAAGAAAGCATTAATATATTAGGAGAACTAATAATATTAATACATTAAAAATCATCACAAAATCACATTATACATAATAAACAATAACAATTAATTGTATAAATTATACACATTTGATTGGAGCTCTTCCGATTGCTTTGCCATTGAATTTTACAATGAAAAACGAATTCATTAAATATTTAACTTGGAGTTTTTTGTCAAATTCGAATGCTCCGGTTCCAGGAGGATTAATATACAATTGATATCCAATATCATCAGTAAGATCAAATAATAGATTATCACAAGCATCAACAATCACGAATCCATAATCATTTGGATTTTCACTTGTAAAACCAGTGGTGAATATTCCAACTACACTTGTAGTTTCTTTTGAAATCTGTGGAAAGCGAATTAAACCAGAAATTTTTTTTACATCACCGCCGTTATCAAAACTTGCATAAGCAACACCGTCTTTTGCACGTTTTTCTGAGAGAATTGGCGATGCATTGATAAAAACATTCGATAAAATAGTAATAATTAAAAGAGCAAATGTTAAGAATTTAAAAGATTTTGACAACATTTTCTTATATATTTCATAAAAATATTTTGAGAAACTTTGTGTCAAAGAAAAAGACGATTGCACTTTTATTTATACGAAAAACCGTCCATTAAAATGGGGCTTTTTTTATATATAACAAATATCTATTTTTAAAAAATACGGAACGAAACTCCTGGCTAATACTAATACTAATAATTTCAATAAAAGGCCTTATAACCTGATTTTTAATGAAAAATTTTTTAATTTTAAAGTAACATCAAACCGTGTGTTTGCGATGACATTCAATAGGGTTTTCCCAGTTCTCTAGTAATACAGGAACTAATTTATATAACTCTTGCAGAACGTATGGTATAAGTGTAATAAAATGTTTATACACCCCCCAAGAAGGATGTGCCATACCATCTTTACCATACTGAATTTCTTTCTACCGTGTGAAAACTCATTTTATGGTAAAACTTGATCAATTAGAAGTAAAAATTTAAGGCTCATGTGATCTTGTGTCATCATCATCATTATTTATTTATTATTTTAAATGTGTGTGAATGATAACATTTTAATTTATTAATAATAAGTCATTATTATACATGCAGGTAAAAACTTTGTTTTATTTTTATTTTCTAACACACGCGTTAACTTTATTTAGTAGAAACACATGACAGCCTATATTGACAATATAACTGCTACCAATGTGTAAATTAACTTTGTAATAAGTTTTAAAAGTTAGAAATAACTTAATTAGTTTTAACTAAATAAAATAAATAAAATTTTTACCTTCTTTAAAACAAAATTATCCGTTAATAAAAATCGATTCGTTAATAAGTCTATTCATTCTGATCCATATAAACATAAAAATAATTGTTATCACCAAATTAAAATACGCTCTCCCAAAATTAATCGGTGACAATAATAATTTAATTTAAAATAAATTTTTTTTTGAAAATTAAACTCTTGTCAGAATAAATATATTAATATAGACCAACATATATGGAAGTTTCTTCATGTACTTCTATTGACATTATTAATATACATTGTATATAAAAATCTCACCTCGCAACAATTATGCTGATACAAATTTTCAAAATAATTTTTTGGAAATACAAGAAATCCCTTCCCCCAAAATTATTTAGTTTTAGAAAGTAATTCATTCATCCATTAATCCTTAATCCTTAATCCTTAATATTAACCCGTAATTCGTATTCCTTAATCCTTAATTGATGAATTCGTCTATGAATCAGAGAAATGTTGATATTAAAGTGTATAATGATATGATTTTATTAATGAAGTTTTGTATATTTAATTTCATGTTAAAAATTTCCTGCCTTTATTTTTTTATTGATATATAATTTTGATAATACAAAAATTTCTATATTATGAAAAAATAATAATTACTTCCAAGAATAAAGTCTTTTATTTATAAATATGTTGCATGTGACAAAAATTGGAAACAACCAGTCCAATGATTCCAATATTCACCATTTCAATTTAAAGGAAACAAGAAACTATATCGCTGGAATAAGGAAAGATCTAGATAGAGAATTGTTTAATGAATTTTACTTAAAATTAATTCTAGAATGAACAATAATGATGGATAGTTTCGAAAGTAAAGCATTAGCATAAATCATCAAATTTTTTCAATAACAAAACTCCAAAATCAACATAATTAAAGGCAATAAAAAATACATGAATGTGTTTCCCTGAGATTTATTTTATTTATGTACACAAAAAAAAATTTAAATCTTGCCAAGGCAAAAGTAAAGTTATAAAAGGTTAGTGTTTTTTTGTGAATTTTCCCGATAAAATCGTTATATTTTAAGAATTTATTACCTACAATAATAATAAACCATTACTTTTTCGATTAATTTCTTTGATAAATAAAGAACTATTACTTTTCCGATATGAATGAGATTACAAAACTTGTTATTTATTATAAATAATATCTACTAGAATAAATATAACCTTTTGGAAGTAAAAATTACTTTTTTTATACTAATATGTGTTGATAATTTTAGCTATAAGATCTATTTTTTAGAGAAAAATTTATAATTAACTTATCTCTGCAGATCACTACATCCTCATCACACAATAAAATTTAAATAAAATTTATTATACCTTTTCTCATATGAAGCACATTTTGTTTTTTTTTTTAAATTTTGGAGCTTTGAACTGATTTCGAAGTTTCAAAATAATTTCGGAGTTTAAAAAACAGCTTCAGAGTTTCGAAATAGTTTCACACGATAAAATTTCAATCATTGAATACTAAAATTAATTATGAATAGTTGGAATGATTCTTGTTCGAATAGAAACTCCTTTTTTTTCGATATTCTTAAAAAAAAAAATTTTTTGCATTTGTTCTATAATAATAACATACATAAAATAACTGGTTTATCTCACAGAGACTAACTCCCATGATGAAAAAAAAAATTTATTTTGCTACGAAAAAGTTTATTTTACGATCACTATTCAGAGTTAACTCATTCGTAGACGGATCGTCAATTAATCCTTAATCTTTGATCCTTGTGCATATTCATATAAGTATGCTTACTTTTTTCGCCTTCCTCTCTTCTCATAAATCAATTCATCCTCGTTAATATTCATCTCACTTCAACATTTCACATAACATACAATAATCATCCATAAACAAAATGATTGCTTCTAAAATTTATTCAGTTGCCACTACATTATATTTGGTTTCATTGTTGTTTTCGGCTGTTTTAGTCGTCTCTGCTAAAATCGAGTGTACTAAAAGTGCTTCAAGCGAAGAATTCAACATAAATAAAAAAGAATTTATGGTTTTGCTTGAACCTAAAAAAGGGACCGAAAATACGGCAATTCTTAGACAACATTTGGATTTTTTTAAAGATTGCTTGGGCATGGATTCTCTACCATTTCTAGATCAAAACAATGGGAAAATTACAACAAAAAAACCTTCACCAAATACAGTATTGTATTTTTCTGTCAGCACCCTTTTTGGTTTTTTTGGTTCTTTTGATCCTCAATTAGTTGAAGAACAAATTAAATCATTACCTAGCATTAAATCAGTCGAAAAGGTGTCAAAAGTTAAAGCCTTTGCTCCTATACAAAATAGTGGTGGTAGTACAACCGTTAGTACTTCATTTTATGACTTGGATCGTATAGATCAAAGAAATAATAATTTAGATGGAAAGTACACTTTTCCTACTCCAGCCGGTGAAGATGTAAATGTCTATGTGGTTGACACTGGTATAAATCAAAATATGGCAGAATTCGATGATCGTGTTAGATTTGGTGGTTCTTTTTGTGATGGATGTTCTGACGTGGATGATAACGGTCATGGCTCAGCAGTTGCAAGTGTTATTGGTAGTATAAATTTTGGTGTAGCGAAAAAAGTAAATCTTATAGCTGTCAAAGTACTTAATGCGGCAGGGGATGGATCTAATGGTGATGTTATTGCCGGTTTAGTATTTGTATTAAATGAACATTTGGCAAACATGAACAAAAAGACAGTCGTTAATATGTCATTGGGTGGCGGATTTTCAGAAATAGTAAACGAAGTAGTACGAGTTCTCACAGATAATGGTATACATGTTATCGTGGCTGCCGGAAATGAGTCAATTGATGCTTGTAATGTCTCACCTGCAAGTACACCATCAGCAATTACAGCGTGCGCAACTGAAAAGACAAGTGATTCAATTACTGATTTCTCAAATTTTGGACCTTGCGTTGACATTTGTGCTCCTGGTAGGAATGTTCCTTTACTTAACTTTGGACTCTTACCTAGCGAAGAATCTGGTACAAGCTTCTCATCTCCGCTAGTTGCGGGTGCTGTTGCTTTAAAAATCAGTACTATTGGTAATCTTAGTCCTTCAGAAATGGCCAATGAATTATTTTCTGATAGCACCAAAAATATTATTACAGGATTACCAGCTGGCACACCAAATAGATTCTTATTTGTTTCTTAAAAAAAATGATTAATTAAACTGAAAAGTTTTTTTATTTTTCAAATTTTTTAGTCCATGCGCTTCTTCTACTTTACCAACAACAAATAACTAATACTAAACTGAAAATTAAAAATATTTGTATTTCAAAAATTACTATTATGCTTTATATATTGTATGTAATTCTTTTTAATTCTCAATTATTCTCATGTGAAATCAAAATTTGAAATCCATATATAAAAAAATTTGGCATTTGGATTTTAAATATATAAAATAAAAATTTCTCTAACAGACATTCCTCTGCTAATTTCTTTTTTTCCTAGTTACATTTTTTTTTAACCATTTTTTTACATATGTGGAAAGGGGTCTTTTAAGAAAATGGAGACATTTCATTTGACGAGTATAGGCTACTCTTGTCAGTTAATTGCAAATAATTCAGCACTTGTCAATTAATAAGTTTATCAATTTATTTAATTGTGAACTTGCTTACAAAATAACTTGAGCAAGCTTTGTTTAGTTTTACTATACAATAATGACCTTACTGGTATTTATAACCTTTGGATCATACTACAATCAACAGTCACTAATTAGCCAATGTCAGTACTAAACCTTGCTTGTTCACTAAAGCAAATTACTAGCAGTCAACCAACACTAGTATTAAAGATGACTCCTCAATTAATTGCGACTAATTTGAATTATGGTTGCAGTTGCAACACACGAAAATTGAATTGCAGCTAATTGTGGTTTCCATCTTTAATTAGTACTAAACCATTGCTTACTCGTTAAATATGGCTTTTACCAAAACACTTTTATTTTCTGACAATTTTAAAAATTGTATGGTTGGCTCGGTCTAAAGACCTCCTATTGCTGCGCCACGCGCTCAAATTTCAAAAATTGCAATTTCGTGATTCG